CTATGGAAGCTGAAACCCCTGGAAGTGCCATGGGGGTGGAGTCACTCAAGCTGTTTGGAGCTTGCAACCAGATTATTTCAGATGCTGAGCATGGAACTCCAGGACTTAATGTTTGCTCTGCTGGATATTGGATCCAATGCTTTGTATTCCCATTTGCAACTTTAGGAATGGTAATGTTTATCTTGTGCCATTTTGCATGTTGTAAGTGTTTAACTTTGTGTTTATTTGTAAAGGGGCTTGCAGCTAAGAATTTGCCTTAGATCTCAGAAGACACTTGGACTTTTTTGGCAATGCTGAAACTGATAGGACTTTGGTAACTCTTGGAGATGGACTAAATGTCTTTTATATAAAGAATGTGCATGAGTCTTTGCGGGGGCAGGGGTTAAATGTTATGTCTTATGTCAGACAGCTCCATCCAGGTCTCATGCAATCATGGATGAGGCTGAATCTAGTGTTTGTGACTGGTGCATTGTCTGGCATTGGGACTGGTGGTGTTAGTGCTATATCCATCCAGGGGTGGAGCCAGCATACAGTGTAATGGCAGGAAAAAAGTGTGCCTTTGTCTCTTTTGCTGTTTGCACTTGTTGTTTGCGGCCCCCATGAACCACTGCCCCTCAGCCGTGCCATTTTGCCTTGGAGCCAACTGAGTGTGGACTGAAACCTCCAACCTGAAAGAAATAAACCTTCTCTTCCCTAACTTTGGCATACGCATTTGCCTCAACAATGAAAAAGTAACTAAGACATGAGTTCCTCTTGGTGACAACCAAGTCTGCAAGAAACTTTCACATGTTCCTATCTCCTCACTCTTCTCTGGGTTGTGTTAGGTCAACTGAATTCTCTCCACTTCTAGCCTATCTTCATGAGGATGATAGGTTTGTCCTTGTTTCTGAAGATAAGCCTCTTCCAGTCTCCCTCACCGATCTTTACCATCAACCATCTAGAAATGACAATGTCCCATCAGAAGCTGCAGTAAGTTACTCTCGAGACAGATGCTCAGAAGCTATGGCTCCAGAAACCAGCAACAGCCTGGTTCTGAGGACCAGCGAGTTCCATGGTATGCAAAGGATTTAGACTTTGATTGCTGAACCACCAGTTAATTCCCTGAAATGTCTTCAAACATTAGACATAAACTGTGTATTATATTTTCCTGATTTCTCCAGGAACACCATTCATCTTACAATTCACATTTTATCTTTTATTCACACATTCCTGGATAGTTTTTAGCAGACTGAGTTCTTATGTTTTGAGATCTGACCAACGTGTGAAAGAGCTCATGAATAGATGATATGCTATTACTACTGCTGTTACTTTGAAAGGTACTGTGCCCTGTTTTGCTTTGTTTTTTGTCTTTCTTTTTTTATAGAGTTATGATATAATTAAATGCCAAGAAATTTCCTCACCACTACCAAAAACAAAATAACACAGAAACTCAAACTTGTTGAATTTTCTTACTATATGCCACTAGAGGTTAAGGATATATATCTTAATATATTATAGAAAATATATTTTATATATTAAGCAGCTCATTTACTAATGATCTGTGAATAAATGGTAAAACTTCACATCTCAATAAAATTCTTATTAGATCCACAAAATCAAAATTAAATGACCCTGTCATTTTTCCTTCCTACTAATTCAAATAATACTACATTAATCAATTTTAAAAATTTTTTTTAAATAGGTCATGATGTTTAATTAAATTATAAACTTTGGGAAATCTTGTTCTTGATTAATTTTTATACAACAAAATAGTGAATATATTGAGCAAATAATAGACACAAAGTAAATATTTTTCATTTAAATGTTTTTCTTTGACCTGAAAATTGTCTCTTCAACATGTAATAAAGATCATGAAAAACATTTTAAACAATAACACCATCCCCAAGACATAAAAACATCCACATCAACATTTCTTTAAAAATGTGAAAATGAGAAATTAATGTTTTTTAAACAGCTGCCTGACACTGGGAATACAGAGCTCACTGATCTTGGTTTGTGCATACTTAAGGAGTGCCTTGTGATGTGTGTATTTTTCCTTTTATCAAATAAAATTCAAACACAGATTTGCTGCTGCATGTTGATCTTGATGCCGGCTAATTTAAACTTTAAACACAGTAATGTGAGAGGACTGAGTGGGGATTGCCTAATGTTAAGTCAAGGAATCTTTGTCAAGCTACGTACAAATCTCTGTGCATGTGAAGTGTGTGTGTGTGTGTGTATACACTTAAACAATGTTCCATTGACACTCTAAAGTGGTACATATGTAAATCTACAATCTGTAACTTGAAGATTGGGGTATCTGAACACATGTTAGGTACAGAAAGACAAATAGCATGAGATTGTGAAGGATAAAGCTCTGGGCTTGATGACCTGGGAAGAGAAAGAGGATTTTGTCACAGGGACTGAGAAAGAGACCAACAATGGTAGAGGATAGTGCAAGTAACTTTCCAGAGAGTTTTACTACCAACGTGTGCTAAGGAATCAGGTGATTCACAAAAGGAGATAACTACACTATACAGCAGTTATTAAACAGTGATGTGGCTACAGTGTCAATACAGTTTACAAGTAGTTACAGATAAAGGTACAGGTTCTCCCTCAGACTTTCACACTTAGTGTTATCACTCTAATTTATTATGTTTTTATGGTTTCCTTCTCAATAATTAATGGTCTATCTGATCACTACTAAGCCATTGTATCTACTATCATAAAGCTCTTTTCCCATTACCTCTTTTATTTTAATCCATAATAATTACCAATGTTTGGAGATAAAGAAATTTATTTACGTATTTTTATTAGAATTTAAACTCTAAATTTGGTGAACTTTTATTATTTTTATTCTGTTAACTACAATAGTAAATTACAATAGTATCGCAGTAAATACTATTTCAACTAATAGATGAATATATGCCAGTTTCTGGGGCTGTATGCATATACACACAATTTCATTAAAGAATAAGATGAGTTTTATTTAGTTCTTATAAAGAATAAAATCATATAAAAACTTCTTGCTCAGGTCATGTGATGGAAAAGGAAAATAGGAGCACAGTATTAACTTTACCAATGATTTAACCTTATTTTTATTAAGCTTAATTAAGGTAAACTTTTTCATAACATGCCTGTAGTTTTCTCAGCTGTGTTTTCAATAATTTTGACAATAAAGGCTTAATCTAGATTTGAGAAAACATATTTTGAAGTATAATATATTACAATTAGTAAATATTATTTTATTTAAACAGAAATAAGAAAACAAAGTAGAACCAATAAAGATGGCCCAGCCCCAAATAAGAAAGAGAATATTATGCAATAAGTAATGCAAGTAAATTATACCTAGTAGAAACTCAGCAGAAGCTTAAGGGGAAACTAGATTTTCATACTAGTACTTAAAGTAATACTACCATGCTCATAGGGAAAAGGGAATTCAATTTATAACTTTATGATCAGGAAAACTTGTCCAAACACATTAGGGATGAAAAGTACCTATCTTTTTTAAAAGACAGAGTGACTACATGAAGTTCCCACATATGCAAAGCTGATTATCTGGGTCTGTGGAAGTTTATGGTTTAATGGTTTAATGAGATAAACAGGTAATGCAGCAAAACATATTAAGTGATAAAAGAGCAATTAGCCTATTACAGGCACTCAGGGGATCTCTAGTGGGGAGATACCTGATCTGAATCTTAAAGCATGCATAAGAACATAAAAGCATACAATATTATGTCTACGATATAGTTACAAGACTATATTTGGTGAATACTACAAAATAGTATCAAAGAATATATGAAAATAAGGACATGATATGTCAGTTTCACTTTATATTTAAAAAAACACAAATTCATTTGTGGCAAAAGGCAAAAGCTTATCTGATGACTAGATGCTTTAAAATACTTACAACATTCATTACACATTCAGTCAGACAACCAGAGACAGGAAGACTGTCAACAAAGTACTCATTACTAAAATTGTACACAGTATAGAATAATGAAAAGTTACTCTGAAGAAAAGGCTGGTGAAAACTATGTCTCCCCATATTTTTCAAGTGGATTACTCATCCATTGTAAAATAAGGCATGTTGTTGAAAGTCTAATTCAGATTCACCATAATAAAATATTTTCTTTGATACATATTTTGCATCACATCACTGACATTTCTTAATATAAATTCCTTCACTGGAGATGTCTGAATAGTAGTTTGAAGACAGAATTTCTAAGTAACTTCTTAAATAGTCTCATAATCAGAAATAATTATTTGAACATTTCATTTTTCTAGTGATGTAATAGATTATAAAAGTATAGTCTGCCCAAATGACACTACCATATACTTTCACTACTTCTCAGTGAGTTTTCAAAGATACTTTATAAATTCCTGCAAATAGTTATTTCTCTCAAACATTGAGTTCTAGTTCACAGTAATTCCTGTAACTTTATAAAATAAAAAATGATATAGTTTAGATGTGAAGCAAATCATTTCAAGCATCAAACTTGATACATTTCTTGGCTTGTTCTTTTAGGAGTCAGGTGCACTGTCTAATATCATTGAAACATTTCAAGAAATAACGAGGATTCTCTTAGATTTTTAGATAAGTATTTGAAATTGCTTCAGGTAAGAGGATCAAAGTGAAATAGAGCAGAGATAATGTGAGAAAATGATACAAGGGCTATGACTAGGTTATGTGATTGAAGAAATAAATGGGATCCAACTAGGGAATTTTTAAAAAATGAACACAGACGTACAGAAACATTCGGCAGAGGATCCAAAAACTGAAAAGATCTAATAGAAAACTACACAAAGGAATAAAGAGAATGAAAATAGAGAATATATGTTATGAAAGAGGAGGTAATGTTTGAATTTTATTAGAATAGAAAAGACTTCCAACCAGGGTTGCGGGATTCACGAAACAGTCACAGGAATTGGCAGAAGGGCACTGGGACGAGTTTATCCACGGGGCCACCAGTCCTAAGGGTACCGTACGCAGGTCACATACCAAGCTCAAAGTGCAGTACCTTTGCTTTGTCTCTCATTGATCCTTTGCCCAGGATTGACATTTTAGCACCTGTTTCTTCCTGTAGCCTCTTCAAGGAGTTTCCTCTTGGTCCGAGCAATTTCCCCACGAAATTGAACTAGGAAACAACATCGACAGAATGTCTTTTCAGTTAGAGTAAAAATGTGGTTTTTGCTAAGAATTGAAAGGCTATGTGTTTTTCAAATTTAACCGCTGAGAATGGGGTTATATTAGAATACTTGCTCTCTCTCTCTACATTCTCTTTCTCTCACACACAGTTCAGACCTCTAAGACCCATTACAAAAGAGACACCTCTTCCTAAATCAATGCCAAAATTCATACTATCTTGACTATATGTATTATTTATTTATACAGTCAAATAAATTACACCCTCTAGAATGAGTCACAGAGGTATGCAAAATTTCTAAAGGCTTTTTCTTATAGATTATTGAGGAAACTAAATAATTTTAGTGCATATTTACTGACCTTCAATATTGAAAAATGTTTTGAATTTATAAAATGTTTTAAATTTATTTTTAGGTGAAATGCAATACTTATATTAAACTTTGCCTGTGTGGGTAATACTCTACGATAAAATGCATCATTTCAAAGAAGAGACTATTACTCTGTAATTTTATATTCTTTATACTACATAGTTGTTCTTAGGAACAGCACATTAAAAGTGTGAACAAATAAAAGTTTGACAACATTAAACAAAAAATACACAAAGCAGTTTAAATGAAAAATTGTAGAATTACATACACTTTGTGTATTCATTCTAAAACACGCAGGTGGACTTTGTATGTCAGCCACCTAAAGAAACATTATCAAACCAAATGATTCAGATTACCTTTCATGCTATTATTAACACTAATAATGTGGAGGTTAAAATTCACCTAAAGCTATGTTAAGAGCATGAAAGACAAACATAATTAAATTAAGTAGGTACCTTCTAGTTCAGTGTTTTAATATTTTCAAAACCACAATTCTATATAGTATAAGAAATATGTTATATCTCTCAAGAAATTGTCTGAGTCTGGGATGTGGGGCAGAGGCCAAAAAAGGTAGAATGACACAATGGTTACAGAGTTTTCTGTTTTTGATCATGAAAGGTTTTAAATTAATCATAATGATGGCTACACAACTAAGGAAACTAAAAACCAATGGACTGTACTATTTAAGTAGGCATTATGAATAGTATGTAAACTATCTTAATTCAATATTTTTAAAGTACATATTATTAAACTATTTTAGAATGTATCATAATGATAAAGAAAAAACTAATCATTTTTCCTTTGAGTTCATGATAAAGACAAGATCTACTGTTAACACTTTTATGTAATACTGTACTGAAATGTGAATTGCTGTATATATAGGTAAATTGACAAATGGAACAGTTTAACGCCTAAAATATACACATCCAAGGTCAAGTAATTTTCAATCAATGTGCCAATGCAACAAAACTGGAAAAGTCTTTCAACAAATAGTGCTGAAAAAGTTGTATATCTGTATGCAAAAAACAGAACAAAACAAAAACAAGAATAGAAAAACCATTGATGCCCTATTTGAGCCTTAGGCAAACCTTGTTTTGAGACTGACTACAGACATAAATGTAAAAAAACAAAATTATAAAGATTCTTGGAAGAAACATACATGAATAATTTTGTAAATTTGTAGTAGGGAAAGATCAGGAAACAAAAAGCAAGTGCATGTATGGACACACACACACACACACACACACATAGAGAGAGAGAGAGAGAGAGAGAGAGAGAGAGAGAGAGAGAGAGAGAGAGAGAGAGAGAGAGAAACAATAGGCAGACCCTAAACCTATTTTAAAAACTGAATAGAAGAATCTAAGACAAGGGGAAAATACTCTGGAACAACTAGAAGCAAGTATCTATAAAGAACCCCATCAAATCAGTAATAATACACAAACACATGCTCTAGTTCAATTCCCAGCATGAAAAGAAAAAAGAACAATGGCTAAAATGAAGACTGAAACCAAATGTTGACAGAAATGTGCAATCCCTGGAACAATCATTGTTGGCAGTTTAAAGTAATACAATTACTTAGGCAGAATTGGACAGTGTTTTTTGTTTGTTTGTTTGTTTGTTATTTGTTTTTAATGAAGTTAAATATCTAGCTCTACTATGGCCCAGTAGTTTTACTCCAAACACTGCATTCAAGATATATAAAAACTTACATTCACAGAAATACTGCATGAGAATATTAGTCACATTGTAGTCACAATCACACTATTTACTCACAAATAGGCTAACATCAATTTTTGGAGAACAAAATTTTTAAACACAAATGGAATGGAATTAGTAATTGACACCATAACATGGATACATATCACAAATATTTGAGAGAAGAAAGACCAATACAAGACCATATCGTATTAAGACTCCTTTACCACAAAAATGTAATGGCAAAAGTAATACACATTATTAGAATTCGTAAGAATGGTTTCCTGCTGAGAACAAAGGATGGACCAGGCCTGGATATATGGTGGGATAAGGAGCTCAGTTAGGTACTTGGTTGGAGGTATAGGCTCACTTTGCCAAAACTCATTATGTACATGCTTGAGATCAGTCCAACAGTGTTCTGACTGAGGAAAAATAAATAAGGCTGAAAACTCATAAAAACATTTTAAAATAATACCACGAATAAATGTACTACAACAAAATACCAGTACATGACTGTACAAAGGAATCTCAATAGGTATTTAGAAAATAAATCATTCCAAACAATGTAAACTACTCCAGAGAAATGGATAAATATCCAGCAACTCATTTTAGTACACAAGCATAACCTTCATAACATAATTATGCTAGAAGAAGAAACTGATAGCCTAATGTCACTCATAAATAAACAATGAAAAAACACAAATAATGGAAAAGTATAACCATTCCTGTTACACATGCAAAAAAGGTCCATCATGACTGGGAAATGTTATCATTAATACAGAAAGTAGTTTAGGATTTGTAATCATTCATTATAATTTTCTCACTAGCATAATGATATGGAGTAAAGATCGAACAAAAAATTTTTTAACTCAAGTTTAATCATGACGAAAATCATAGTATCAAAACAGTAAAAATTACTTCCCTAATTGATATAAGATTTCTACTCAAAGTTGTAAGAACAGTAGATAGTAGATAGTAACAGAAATATGTACATTATTGCTATTGTATCATTTATTTAAAAATGATTTATTTAAAAATGTTATTTAAGACAAATGTAGAAATATTAGAAAGCCAAAAATTGTAGTTTATATAATTACATACATAATTACTACTAAATTATTATCAAGAAAATTAGTAATATTAGTAAGAAAGCCTTGCAAGGTGCTTTAAAAAATCAAAATAAAAATCAATAATATTCTTTGCATAACAGCAACACATAGTTAAAAAGTATTTTTTACATGAAAATACATTTATAAAAATAGCAAAAAGCAAATATTCTAGGAATGAATATACCTATGTAACTTCAAAATGTTTGGAGAATACAAGAAATACATAAAGACACTGTGCAGATACAGAGACCATGTTCATAAAATTGTAAGCCACAATGAAAAAGATATTTAGCCCTGTGAATTTAACCTATAGCTACAATGTAACTCTATTTGAAATTACAATAGGACCTAGATTATTTTATGAACTCATTCTAAAATTTGTTTGAAAATACTGAAGTTCAAGATAAAGTCAAATTCCTAGAAGTGAAAGAATATATGCAACGCTGCTCAAATTATGCACCAGGATTTAATATAAAGCTCTATTAACTACAAGGGTGATGCTGCCCTCTGGCACATATAGGCAAATCAGTGGACTCTAGAAACCAGTGTATGATCCCTATGCATGATACAAATGACACATGATGACCCATATGACATAGGTAAAAGATCCCAACAGAAGTCCACCTTTTAATCCCCAGAACCTGTAAGTATGTTACTTGCAGAGACTCTGGTGTAAGCTGAGCATCTGAAGATGAAGAAAGAATCCTATGATACGCAACTGAGTACAATGTCCTCAGAAGTCTGAAAGGGAGGTGGCAGCAGGCCATGTGACAACAGAGGTGGAGATGCCAGTGATGTTGGTGGTCACTCTGCAGCTGGAAGATGGTCATATGCCACAGGATTCAGGTCACTCTTCCTAGCCAGAAGAGGGATGACACATTTTCCTGTAGAGCTCAGTCAGGAGTATCACCTTGCATGCACCTTGTCTTTAACCCCTAAAGATCTCCTTCAGATTCGGATGTCTGCCACTGTACAGTCAAATTTGATTTAAGCCAGTGAATTCAAGCTTTTAGTAATTATAGAAGCAATGAGAAACTATACACTAAGAAAAACTACTTACTATTATATATAACACAATGGCTATCCATAATACATAAAATAAAATTCCTACCCCTTCATTAAAAACACATTCTCCACCAAAGGAGAAACAGGAATGGGTAAAACATGAAAAATTCAACCTTATTATAAGTAAATAAAGTAAAATTAAGGCCACAAAAAAAGATAATATTTGTTACACACTTCATGGTAAAAAAGAAAAAGGAAAGAAAAGAAGTTGCACATTGGGTAGAATGTGGAGCCAGGAGACTGTGGAACCACCACTGCTTTTGGGTACAATCACAATCATTTGAGCAATGTCCTGTAAGCTTGTGCATGCACTGATCTATTGTTTTCTATACAACTCCCTGTATATTCCCTGAAATCTTAGAACATGTGTAAGAAAGAGTGTTAATGCTTATAATATCAACAATACTTGGTAGAAAATAATGATCCCTTCAGAATAGTGTGCAGTCAAGTTAATAACTCACTCCCTGCTGTTCACCGCTGGGGCACTCTGAAGGCTGGGCTGGGGGGAAAGGCAGGTGCTGCCCTCGGGTCTGTGCTTCATTTTGCCAGCCTCCTGCATGGGACACAGCCAACCTGATTTCCTGTTTCCTCATCTGGAGCCCTCTTGTCCTCACATCTCAGAGAACTGGAACTCCACTGTCATGTCTAGAGTGCATTCCCTACTGCCCAGCTCCAGGGGAGCTCCTCACTGAGCTAGTTTTTCCCATGTTACCCTTCAGAGTGAGCTATTCAAGTCAAGCTCTGTAGGCGCACAT